CTAGATCTAGCCTCCTAAGGCTGAGATACCACGTAAAGCTACAATCTTTACGTCCATACATGGCACTTTGGGCTTGAAATGCCAAAACAAGCTCCATTTAGGGTCTTAAGCGTAAAATCTCCTTTAAAGTTGGATAAAGTTGGGACCTTTGGACTCTAGGGACCTCACAAGGTCCGGATCTGAAGTCTCAATCACTTGGTAAGCTCAACACACTCAAAGTCTCAAGAAAAGATGGAAAAAGCCCTAAAACTCCATGAAAACGAGATCTAATCACAATAATGAGCAAGGTGAAGACTTTTTACCTTCAACAGAAGCTATAGATGAAATAACACCATATCCAACAGCTTCTTTTCGTTCCTTGCCTTGATACTCTTCTCTTCTCTTCAAAAGATGCACTAAAATGCCCAAAGATTAGCTCTCTTTCTCTCTTAGCTCAATATAGACGTTTAGGGTTTCACACAGGGGAGTAAGGTGGTTGGTGAAGCGGAAATGAGGCCTTAAGATCCTTTAAATAGGACCCAACCCCGGAGATTTAGGGTTTCCTCACACAGCGCCAACTCGGTGAGTTGGTCCCTCCGACTCGTCGAGTTGGTCATAAAACCCACGTGGCCAATCCGCCTCTACTTGACAAGTTGGGGCATCCAACTCTTCGAGTTGCTCAATCAACTCATAAATAAATATAAAAATATTATACCTGGGAGTCGGGATGTTACATCAGGGGAGTATAAGAAAAATAAGAAGACATGATAAAGTTGTGGGGGCTCCCGATGCCGACGATTGGGAGGTTGCTAGTTATTTTTATTTTATATATTTTACTTCAAGTGTGAAATCTAATATGTTTGGAATCTAATATTGTTTTATTATTTTGTTAGGTTTTTTATCGACTATTTGAGGATATTTTTCAATGTCATAAAAAAGATATCTGGGTCTAAGTATGTGACAACCAATTTATTTTTTGGTGAACTTGTGACAATGCAAGCAAGCATTACCAAAATGTGTGCAAGCATGAACGAGAAAAAGAAATGAATGACAATATCGATGAAAGAAAAGTATGATAAATATTGGGACAACATTGATTATATGAACTTCTTGCTTCATGTTGCAGTGGTTTTAGATCCTCGCAATAAGAAGTGTTATCTAGAGTATTGCCTAGAGTTAATTTATGGCAATGATTCTCTCAAAACAAAAAATATCTTGGAGCGTGTCAATAAGACATTGATGGAGTTGTTTGAACACTTCAAGAACAAAGCACAGAGAGAAAGATGTGAAAAGACAAAGGATGTATCATCTTCTAGACATACAACTGGTTATTTTGATGGTGGGGATGGAGTTGATTTAGAAGATGATTTTGCAAGGTTTTTGGAACAATGTGGGAAAGGGGTTAATAAAACAAAGGTTGAAGTTTATTTTTCAGATGGAATGGAAAAGAGGGTGGAAGATTTTCAGATTTTAAATTGGTGGGAACTTAATTCCATAAAGTTTCCTGTACTTTCAAGTGGCGAGACATGTTTTAGGAATGTCGATCTCTAGCGTAGCATCAGAGTCGACATTTAGTGTTGGCGGGAGGGTGATTGATGCGACTAGAAGCTCCCTTACAGAGAAGACCGCGGAAGCTCTGATTTGCATACAAGATTGGATACGTTCCAGTCCGATTGATATTCAATTTAAAAACATGACGACTGCATATGTGGTAGAATTCGAAAATAAGTTGGGGAAAATAGAACTTGTTAAGTATTTTTGCATAATTATAAGTTTATAATTCAATACTAACCTTTTTTTTAGATGAATTGAGAAATGATGAAGTGATTCACATGGATGAAGATTGAAGATTGAATATTGAACTTGCTTGTAATGACAATTTCAATTTTGTTGTTTGGTATTTGTTTTTGTTTCTAAAAACTTCTTAAAGTTTGGTGTCTGTTAAACTTTTAGCAACAAACTTTTCATGTTGTGTTGGTGTTGTAATTGTTTTTTTTTTTTTTGAGGTATTTTTTAATCTAGGTCGTTAATTTTGTTTCATTTTTTAAGTCATAAAGATTTGCTAAAAAATGGGTTACAACCCCAAACCCACCGGGTTAAACCCAAAACCCATGGGTTGAACCCAAAAACGATGAAACCGACCAACAAACCCAGAAATCGAAACCAACTTAAAACCGAACCCAACAGGTTCTTAAACCCAGAAACCGAAATTTATGGGTTGGGTTCAGTTTTACCCTAAACCGACCTAACCCGGCCATGCTCAACCTTAAAAAATAATAATATAAGAACTGTTATGCGCACTAACACTCCTCTTTAATGACTTAAAAAGTTAAAATCAGTCGAGAAAGTATATGATTCACTTGGTGACTGGTGACCATGTAAACTCTTTATTTTATTTTATTTTATTGTTATGATGTTATCTCCACGAAATATTCCCACACAAATCAAAAGCAAAAGGTATTTCTTTAAACAAATATCCATGCTTTATCAGATCACATGCATCGCCATGCCCCCAGTTGAACATGTTGCCCAATCATGCCAGCTATTAGCAACCCTTGGATTAGCCATCCATCTACATTAGAAATCGAATCCGACGATTCAATTTGTTTCCCTCACGCAATCACATTTTTCAAGAAATATCATTTGTTGGTACACGGAAATTGGTTTTACGGTTAAAAAAAGACTAAACTGCACAAATGGTCCTTGTGGTTTACTCAAAATTGCCACTTTGGTCCAAAAAAGTTTGGACTAGCACCAGAGGTCCAAACTTTTCATTTTGTTGCGGGTTTGGTCCAATTTGCTTTGAACTTTTTTATAATGACGGATTTGCCCTTGCTTTTTCAGTTTTTTTATTTATTTAAATGTTTTTATAATTAAAAGAAAATAAAAAACCAATTAATCTCTCACTCTCCCTGTCCTGTACGAAGCTAACCCAACTCATCTTCTCCAAGCAAACCATAAAAAATGATGATCAGAAATCGATGAAACCAGCAACATTCATCGCAGATGTCTTCCCAACAAGCAAGGACACAACAAGATTCGAGCACTACAATTTCAGAAGACAGACCCTATTTTTGATTTCTTTTGGGGTATAAAAAAGGCACAGAAGACATAAGCCCTTGGGGTTTACATTTTCTTGGGGGATCCACTATTCAGCATCTTCTTTGTGAACCACATTCAATCCAAAAACAATGAAAAGTCTGTGAATTTTTTTGAAAAACACATCCCTTTCTTCATCCACCTTCAGATGTTCTACCCCCAATCTCTCTGTTTCTGATTTGCAGGTGTCATTAAAGTTTGAACAAGAATACCCATAAAACCCAAACAAAAAATAACTTAAAGCTTGAACGATGCTCAAGAACAGGGGAAGAAATCAGCATCGATTACTGAAATCATAAATCCCAAATGGAATAATCAAGAAAAAGAAGAACTCATGAAGACCCAATTCACAGGTCTAAAATCCAAGATCAAATGATTAAGAAACAGAAGAATACATAAACATCCACTTCAAAAATCCCTAATCGATCGATCAAGCAAGAAACAAGAAAACCCACAAAAATCCAACTGGAAGATCAAGCACATCGTATCCTCGTTTCTCATTAGAAAAAGACATCGCACCTAGATAGATTCCAGTCAAAAACACGAGACCCATTTCCTCCAACCCGATTCTCTATGAACACTCCTGTGATCTGGACACGAGACCCATTTGAGACACCTCTTACAAAAGGTTCTTGTACACCCCTGTGATCTAGACCTTCTCTGAGACGCATATACAACGACAAGTTAAATCAACTCCTCTGTGTCAGCTCTTGAAGACGCTTCTTATACGTTTGTTTCTTTGAAATCGATCTCAAAGAAGAGAAAATCCTCAAATCTCACTTCTATTAACATCAATCAAAGCGTCTAGTAGTAATGTTGATCATCGATTTTGATCGGAACATTCAAAGATCATTATCAAGAGTTATTAGGGTTTGGAGTTCTAATTTCTGGTGACGTGTGTGTTTTTTTTTTTGAGGAAAAAGACAATCAGGTCAAGAAGAAGAACATGAGAGAGAGAGAAGAGAGAGAGAGATTAATTGGTTTTTTTATTTTCTTTTAATTATAAAAACATTTAAATAAATAAAAAAACTGAAAAAGCAAGGGCAAATCCGTCATTATAAAAAAGTTCAAAGCAAATTGGACCAAACCCGCAACAAAATGAAAAGTTTGGACCTCTGGTGCTAGTCCAAATATTTTTGGACCAAAATGACAATTTTGAGTAAACCACAGAGACCATTTGTGCAGTTTAGTCTTAAAAAAAACAATAGTTTTATTTCTTAGAAATGTTTAATGTATTTATATTACATTTATTTATTTATTTTTATAACAAATGTCAAAATTAAAAGAAAAATATAATGAAAGAAAAATATCATGTTATACATGTCAATTATTAAATAGATAAAGAAGATCAATTAAGAAAGTAAAGTAGGAAGAAATTTTATTTTTCTTTTTTCAATCTAATTATAACTTTATTATCAGTGAGGTTAGCATTAAGTTTTAGAAATCATAACTTTTTTTAAGATAGAGGAATAAAGTGCTAATTAACAAAATTCAGGATTTTATTTTTAATCCTTAATAATTTTGTGATTAAACTAATCTTTATATTTGTCATTTGTTAAAATAGAAATTAACTACAAACTAAAAGAAGTCCATGTTATTGAACAAGTGGACTACACTTATGATATGGCATGATGATTAACAGTATATGTAGATATTTTGTCACATATAATCAAATTATAACCAAATTCCATCAATTCCAGTCTTTTCAGATTTTTTTAAACAAATACTATCTTTTACAAAAGATATTTTGTACAGAAAGTGTCTTCCTAATATATTGCGTATCATCTTTTTAGCATTATTTTAATTTTTAAACAAGGGTTAATCATATAAACTGCCACGAATACGGGTCGTGAGATGTTCCGGGTCCAACTTAACCCAATCAAATGAAAAACATGTCCCCTTTCTACTATAAATAGTAACGATATTAGCAGCCTATCAGATTGATTCTCTAAATCGTTGCTTCAGTTTGATTCGGAGAAGGATGACGGTCGGAGCAGGTATATCGATTACAGATCGGAAGCTGAATGTGTTCGCGAATCCTGTGTTAACGGACGTACATGACAATGTTTTCGTCACTTTATCAACCGGCGACGGGATGATCAATGGCGCCTTCATCGGTGTGCAATCGTCCCTGACTGGTAGTCGCATGGTTTTTCCCGTCGGAAAACTCGAGTAAGTCCGTCACTGTTGTAATTTATAATTTTTTTTTGTTCACGGTTCTGCTGCTGATTATATAGTTAGGCAGCTTGTGAGTTAAATTGGTAGATAAACATTTGATTAAGTAGAGTTGTTGATGAGAAGAATGGGTGAAAATTCAGGGGATTGAGGTTTATGTCTGTGTTCCGCTTCAAATTGTGGTGGATGACACAGAGAATGGGAACATGTGGTCAGGATATTCCAACTGAGACTCAATTCCTTATAGTTGAAACCAATGACGGTTCACATTTTGGTGAAGATAATGAAGTTACTGATGGATGCCACCAATCTGCTCTATACACTGTCTTCTTGCCCATTCTTGAGGGTGATTTTAGAGCGGTTATACAAGGAAATGCCAATAATGAGTTGGAGATTTGCTTGGAAAGTGGTATTTGAAGAATCCTGCCTTGTGATGTTTGATTATATATATATATATATATATATATATAATAACAACGTATATGAATTCGTAGGGGATCCTGCCGTGAAAGAATTTGAAGGGAGTTATCTGGTTTTTGTGGCTGCTGGATTGGATCCGTTTGATGTTATCACCAACGCAGTCAAGTATGGCCGACCTCCTCTTGTTTTTCCAGATATATATATATATATATATATATATATATATATATATATATATATATATATATATATATATTCTTTTTTGTGATGTACACAATACATAAAGATTCATACATGAATTTTAAAACTGTACAGGAGTGTAGAGAGACATTTACAGACATTTTGTCATCGCGAACGAAAGAAGGTAGTTTGGTTGATTGATTCTCTACGATGACTAAGTAATTGATGGATGCTAAATTAATAATCTCTCTCTCTCTTTTCATCATAACTGGTTCAGATGCCTGACATATTAAATTGGTTTGGGTGGTGCACATGGGATGCTTTCTACACTGATGTTACTTCTGAAGGTGTGAGACAAGGGCTTGAGAGGTATAACTCTTATCATTTGCCATTCCAATAAATCTCTATTAATTGTTGAATCAATGATGATGATTGTTTGATAATCGCCCATATATATATATATATATATATATATATATATATATGCATGATAATGTGACAAATTTAAATACAGTTTCGAGAAAGGAGGAATTTCCCCAAAATTTGTAATCATTGATGATGGATGGCAATCTGTTGGTATGGATCCAGCTAGTGTTGAAGCTAAAGCAGATAATACAGCTAAGTGAGTAGTTAAATTAAAGCGTCACTTGTTTTTCTTCTGTATAAATGATAATATATAGTATATGTTTGATAAAGATTTTTCCCAAATTTCCTATAGTTATGCAAATAGGTTAACTCATATCAAAGAGAACCACAAATTCCAGAAAGATGGTAAAGAAGGTCACCGAGTGGAGGATCCATCCATGGGACTCCGTCACGTTGTCACGGACATTAAAGAACACCATAACATCAAGTACGTACGTACAATCGATTTTGTTGTTGCATGTCTGCATGAATGATATATAAAGTCTTCATTAATCAGTTTGTTAGATGTTGATCGATGGAGTATTAATTTGTAATCACTAATAAATATATAGTGTATGTTAGGTATGTTTATGTGTGGCATGCGATAATTGGATATTGGGGTGGAGTGAGACCTGGAGTGGCGGAAATGGAACATTATGATTCCAAGTTGTGTTTCCCGGTTTCATCTCCAGGAATGGAGTGGAATGAGAAGTGTGATGCGTTGGAAGCCATTACCAAAAACGGGCTTGGTCTTGTGCACCCTGAGAAAGTGTTCAACTTCTACAACGAGTTGCACTCATATCTAGCGTCTACTGGGGTTGATGGTGTGAAAGTAGATTCACAAAACATTCTTGAAACACTTGGAGCGGGACATGGTGGTCGAGTGAAACTTGCCAGGAAGTACCACCATGCATTGGAGGCTTCCATTTCCAGGAACTTCCCTGATAACGGAATCATTTCTTGCATGAGTCACAACACCGATGGTTTGTACAGGTAGGTACCTATATATATATATATATTTTGTATGCATAATCTAAAATATTCCTGGTAATTAATATTTTAATACTTACTTCATGAATGAAGCGCAAAGAGGACAGCTGTTATAAGGGCATCAGATGATTTCTGGCCAAGGGTTACAGCTTCCCACACAGTCCATATTGCTTCTGTTGCTTACAACACCATCTTTCTTGGAGAGTTCATGCAGCCCGACTGGGATATGTTTCATGTAAGCTAACATACATGATACATCCCACTCCCAGACACGTTTTTTTTTTTTTTATTATCAATTCTTGTGCCTAATTTTACATTATATGTATATATAGAGCCTGCATCCGATGGCTGAATACCATGGTGCTGCTCGTGCAGTGGGTGGCTGTGCTATTTATGTCAGGTGAGGTGGGGGTCTCTCTGTGTCTTTATTTGAATGCATGTATATAAATATAACTATTTATAAATATAAATACAATAATGCAGTGACAAGCCTGGGCATCACGACTTCAATTTGTTAAAGAAGCTTGTGCTTCCTGATGGATCGATATTAAGGGCGAAACTTCCAGGGAGGCCAACTAGAGATTGCTTGTTTTGCGATCCCACCAGAGATGGAAAAAGGTGATGTATATTAATTAAAACATGATGTGTGGTTTAGTGTTGTTTAATAAAAGATGGATGGATGGATGGTGATGCAGTCTTTTGAAGATCTGGAATTTAAATAATTTGAGTGGAGTGGTGGGAGTTTTCAACTGCCAGGGAGCAGGGTGGTGTAAAGATGGAAAGAAGATCCTGACCCACGATGAGCGACCAGGCACCATCACTGGCATCATCCGAGCTGAAGATGTGAATTACTTGCATACAGTTGCAGATTCTAGTTGGGGTGGAGATGCCATTGTATATAGTCACCTTGGTGGTACGTTTAATTCTTTTTAATTAAACACAAAGTCTTAAACTTAATTTATTATATTCCAACACTGCAGTCCTATATATAACTTACTTATTTTGCAGGAGAACTGGTTTACCTTCCAAAGAATGCATCTATCCCAGTAACATTGAAACCTAGAGAATATGAGGTTTTTACGGTGGTTCCTGTCAAGACAATATTGTCAGGTGGAGGTGGGAATGGGATTGGTTTTGCTCCCATTGGCCTGATTCAAATGTTTAACTCTGGAGGTGCGATTGTGGAGGTAAAGTATGATGATGAGATAGAGGAACAATTAGGAACCGTTTGGTTGAAAGTTAGAGGAGGCTGTGGTGGTCTGTTTGGAGCATATTCAACCACAAGACCAAAAAGTGTCACCATTGATTCAAATTCCAAAGATGCCGCCGAGTTTGGGTATCAAGAGGAAACTGGATTGATTACTATCAAACTACCAACTACTGTTCCAGACAAAGAGTTGTACAACGCATGGAACATCACCATTCAAGTGTGAACAAGAACTGATTTGTATATTACAAGTTCAACTGCCGATTTACTATGTTGTTATATGCATCCTTTTCATTCTCACTCTAAATTGGATACATCTTATTCCTATTTAACTTAAGTTTTTTTTTTTTTTTTTTTTTAACTCTATTGTGTAACCGCTCTAAAACCACTCTTAAGAATTGGCAAGAAGACAATGTACAATATTAGTATAGATTAGATTGGTGTCATTCATTCACCAAAACGTCAAGAACCATCATTTCATTATAAATAACCTTTATCTTTCTTTATCCAATGATTGCACACTGTAGCAATCTATTTTGTTCCTTTTGCCAATTATAGCAACACACTTTGCTATTTCTTCATATTCATGTCTAACTACTAAACCTTTTACACCATTTTACTCCTAATAGATATTATAACATGTCCCAATACAGTTTATACCATACTATAACTCATTTGACATGATTGCCACAATTTCTCATGTTTTGGTCCTGTTCGCCTTATTTTTTAAGATTCATGCATATAACCCTTTTTGTCCTATCTTTTTAGGACTTCAAGCTTCAAAAAAATTTGTTATACTTGCAGGTAGGTTACATGAACTTTACTTCCATTTTTATCTCTGTCGTACTATCATTATGTGTATTTTCCATTTTGTCCCACTTTAGACTATGATGGTGTTATACCTTGGGTCTTTGTTAAATCTTTGTGTTGTCGTATGTATTCTTGTACCATTTACATTTAAACATAATTATTATGTATAGAAGCAACATTTCCATCCTTTCAATTACATTTAGCATGACAAGTGCCGATATATTTGCTTTTCACCTTTTTGTCCCTTTTCAAAACATAATAGAGGTATGCTTTGTCATTTTGCCATTTCTTGAATAAGTATAGTTTAAAACATATAAATATATAATTTTAGTTCTTAAACATACTGTGACTTGTTTAAATACAAAACTCACTTAAACTCGAGCATTAACACATATTTGGAAAAGTTCTCAATTTTTTTCCACGTTTCTTGTATTGCAAGAACCTTGAAACCCTATCGTGTCTCATAAGCTCTAACATTTTCTTTAATATCTTAACATCATGAAAATGAAAGTTTCAGGATGTTACATATACATACCCCTTAAAAGGATTTTGTACTCATAATCATTAAAATGTGAATGAGCTCGTCACTTTGATACATGATGAAGTTTAACATTTGAAACCTTATTCTTATAGGCTTTCCTTGGAAGTTTAGGTGGTGTTTGTTTTGGAAGTGGTCAAATGTCTTTTGTCTTTTTCCATGTCTGCGGAAGAAGACGTGGACTAAAAGTCTTTTTTATGTATTCATACAAAAAGTCTTAATCCAAAAAGATTGTTTGTTTTTTAATTAGAATGAACTAAAACTTAAGAGATCTTGTAATAAAGGAGATCAATTAACCATATTTTTTTCTCATATTAAAATATGAATAATTCACGTTGGTTTTTAATAAATTGAAAAACCTATCCATTTAATAATATTTACGAACAATTTAATAGATTTTAGTATTTTGTAAGAAAATATTAGATAATATGAAAAAGCAACATAAAAAAACACATTAGATTTTTTCTTAATAAGAATTGTATACTTATACGTTGCCACCCGATTTGCATTAATTTCCATTGTTCAACAACCAAACGGATATTTGAAATTAATGTTGAAACAACCAAAGCCCAAATGCTAAAAACGCAGCATCTCATACATTACTAATCTATTAAAATTTATATTTGACTCAAACTTTGTCAATAACAATTTCATACAGTTTCAAACATATAATACTTTTTAAAACATTAGATAAACTATATATATTTCGATTCAAACCGGAAGGCCGCTTACTTATTAAAGTAGATCTTTTTAAAAACATAAATGATTGTTTTGATGATTGTCTTACAATATTAAAACTAAATTCACAAAACTAACATATTTTTTATGAAATCATTCATTCTACATTTCACATTAACTGGTCAGCAATTTGATCTCGTAGATGAACCATATATTCCCGGTCTCTTGCACTTCCGCGTGGTTGTACCTCGTCCACGTCATCCTCCTCCTCATCATCATCATCTTGTACATTATTGCTTTGAAGTGATATATCGACTTGATTATATTGAGAAAAATACTCATCACTTAATCCCTCTTTTCTTATATAATTATGAAGTGCAAAACATGCAATGACGATGTTTCTTTGTGTAACCAATGGAAATGGAGCCATTCTCTTCAATATAGGGAAACGTGCTTTCAAGACACCAAAAGCACGTTCAATGACATTTCGAAGTTTTGCATGTGAGTGATTAAATTTTTCTTTGTTGGTTAATGCACGTCTTCGATGAAAATCTCCAAGCCAATACCGCACATTACGATAAGGAGCCATAAATCCTCGGGTGTGTGTATACGCAACATCACAAAGATAATACTTATCTGTAAATATAAGGAAATAATTAATTTAAACAAAAAGTAGAAATATTAAAATGAAAATGTAAACAAACCTGGCGGTGGAAATGGGAATGGTGTGTCTCGATCTGTTAAAGCTTCAGATAATATTCTTGAATCATGTGCTATCCCTTCCCAACCAGCCACGACAAATGTAAAAATCATATTGAAGTCGCATATTGCCAATACATTTTGATAACAATCGCCTTTTCCCCTTCCTCTATACAAATGTTGTTTGTCGAGAGGGACAATAGCATGTACCAAAGTTCCATCAAGTGCACCAACCGCTCCTTTGAAAATCCTTCGTAACCTCCTATTATGTCCCGGAACGTTTGGATTTGGATTAAAGGAAGTTGGTACTATTATATCATTTGCGAACACCATCATTTTATCTAATACTTCATAAAAATACTTACGAATCGTTTGTTTTGAGTGTTGAAATCTACGTTTGATGATTACATAACGTTGATTGTGACCGATCATCATCAAGAACATCGCCATCTTCTCTTCAACCGATATATGTTTACTATCCTTTAACCAACTTTTTACTCTAAAATGTGTGCAAAGCCGAACATAAGAATCACGTGACATACGTAAGAGCTCAATGCATTGGTTATTAGTTCCTTGTAATAACTCTAATGTGAATTGATGCCCAGACGTTTTTGAGGTATTATCTCGCATTCTTTTCACACCTCTTCTCCAAAAAAAGCGAAGATACAAATTCATAACAATTAGGAGGCGCAACTTTTTATCGTAATCCATTGTGAACCTGTTAAACCATCAACACTTGTTAAATCCTAATATGCTAAAGCAAAAAACATAAGCATTTGTATCATATTCAAAGCACACATTTTGTTTCAAATAAGCATATAATCTCAATACTAGCAATATTTGTGTCAAATAAGTACACAGTCATTCAAATGATAGCAAAAAACATAATGTCAAACATAAGTTCAAGAAACACATAATTGTTCAAAATAAAAGAAAAAACATAAGCATAAAGACTACTTAAACATCCCTAATGTGGTGCCAGTCATCTTTATCCACCCTTTTAAGACCTCAGGTATCGGTGGCAATGTCATCCATGCCTCTCTCATATTCATGGACATTCCAAAAAGGTGAAAGGTTGCCAAAAATATAGGATCCATTGGGTCTAATCCTACTAGCTTCAACCTCTCATAACATTCTTCTACTGTTGGCCCTTCCTTGCTATTCACCAAATGTTGCAGAGCTTTTTGCATATCAAGACTCAACTCATCAAGACTAGCAGAGGTTTTAGAGGCTTTATCTCTATCAGTCCTATCAGTAGAAGCATCACTGGTTTTAGCTCCTTTATCGGGCCTATCAGTAGAAGCATCAGTGGTTTTAGCCCTTTTATCGGGCCTATCAGTAGAAGCATCAGTGGTTTTAGCCCTTTTATCGGGCCTATAAGTAGAACCACCATGAGCTTTATCACTAGAAGCTCGAGCACTAGTGTCATTGGAAGCGTCATCATCATCATCATCTTCTAGGACATTAAAAGGGTTGTCATCAATCAGAAGTCTTTGGACACGATGAGAAGAAGATGATGTATCTGCGGGTGTAGTTTGAGTAGAGGTCCATTTAATGCTACCGCTAGCACTACTTCCATCAAACAAAGATGCACAAAGGTTGGGATAAGGCAATGGGTGTGTCCTCAATGATCCTGCCTTTGGATGACCCTAAACGAAGATTAATAGTAATTATAAGTATTTTGACATCATTATTAAAATTGGACATAAACTAAAAAAATTAAATTATATAGACACACCTTCTTGAATTCTTCCCATTCTGTGTTCACTAAGGCAAATGAATTTGTTTGAGCATTGTATAAATTCCCTAACTTGTTTCTCAAATATTTCCACCCTACGTATTTAGCTTTTAGATTATCAAAAGCATTTTCCAATTGTTTTTGTGAAGTATCCATGTCAAACTTTTCTTTTAGAGCTTTCCCTAATGTAACCCAAGACTCCTTGTGCATGCTTGTAACATCCCAAAATTCAAGGCCAAAAATTTCGTTTTAATTAAGTTATTATATAAAACCATCAGTCTAAAAACATTCATATTAATATCTCATGTCAAACCAAAGTGTCAATAATCAAAACATATTATCATAAAACCATATCAGAGTGTAATCCCAAAGATATCATGTGCGGAAAACATAGTGTGATGCGCTGCGATCAAGCCGGCTCCTTTCCTTTGAAAACGAGTACCTGAAACCAAAATTGTAAACCGTAAGCACAAAGCTTAGTGAGTTCCCCCATCATACCACATACCATACAATCATATAACATACATATACTGTCAGGCATATCTGGGTGCCCGACCTACCCCTTCGGTCCTCTCAACCGGATACTGCCTAGCATATCTGGGTGCTAGCCTCCCCTTCGGTCCTCTCGACCGGATACTGCCTAGCATACCTGGGTGCTGGCCTCCCCTTCGGTCCTCTCGACCGGATACTGGGGACTATTTCACCCCCTACTACTACCACATAAAACCCTAGCATATAAACATAAATCACATACTGCCTAGCATATTTGGGTGCTGGCCTACCCCTTCGGTCCTGTCGACCGGTAACCGGGGACTATTTCACCCCCTACTACTACCACATAATATCATATCACAT